TGTTCAACCATGTAGAATGTACGTGGTTATTAAACTGCCCGCTACAAACTGCGCACACTACCATGTTGATATTCTTCTGGTATGTATCCAAGAGACTAAAACCAAACCCCAACGGGAATACCTCTTGCAGTCAGGACACAAATTCATGCTCATGTAAAAAAAAAAGGAAGCATCACACCGTGGACTTGGTTTTGTCATTGGCCTGAAGCTACCGGTACATGACCACATCATCATCACAAATACGTAAGTGACTGTGTAGCAAAACTCAACATCAGATGGAATTACTCAACATCGCTATCCCAACACGAAATGGAACACTAATAAACTGCCGATTCATCAATGCATACAGTCGCACTGCTGATGATCCATCCCTCCTGAACTCACTTTATGAAGAACTCAGTTCAACAGTTACAGTACCTGCAAGATGGCTGTACCTTTATATGTGGCGGCTTCAACACAAAACTGGGGAAACTATTACTCCAATGGAGATGCTCTATTGTCATTGTCTCCACCTAAGGATTCTTTGCCAGCAACACAGCTTTCAAACACCCAGTCAAGCATTGTACAACATGGACTGGTCATATAAAAGATCATACCCAAACATGACGAACCAGAACCAAAAGCCACTCGAACTGTATTCAGACAGATAGACTATGTGCTGTTAACATCCAGCTATCCCCCCCTCCCCCATCCCATTGATGAGAATGCTTGTCACGTCGCTGCTTTGTCAAGGGTAGTTCCTCCCACCTCTAAAACTGTAATTTCTTCTCATTGTCTTCTCTCCACAGGTTTCTTCAGGCTTGCGAGCTACAGTGCCTAGGGCGCTTTTGAGGAATCCTTGGTTTCATTACCAAAAATGATTAATAATAATAACAATAATAATGATAAAATAATTGTTGGTGTAGCATCCATCTTCAACCTCTTCAATGATCACAGACATATTAAATCAGAACTTAATTTTTTAAATACTTACATTGGTATATATTGTGAGGCATGGTCTGTGCATGTTTCAGTTATTTTTTTAAACCTTTTTTCCAAGGAAAGCTTTCCGGGTCAAAGTAAAGAATTTCACGCCAATAGTTATTTAATAAAATGTCCCACATGGTCTCAATCCAGTGGTTATGGTAAAATCACATTTATTTTTCATAAACAGAAGTCCACGAATTGGCTTGATGTAGCACCACCGCCCCCCCCCCCAAACACACACCCCATTCATCAAAACCCTGCCCCCAACAGTCTGAGTGTATATTTATTGTTCAAAAGATAAAATACACTTGTTGTTTTATCTTACTATAATTCCAGGAATCTCTGTCTGTCTGTCTGTCCGCCGATTATCTCCAGAACCGGGCACCGTATGAAGTTGAAAATCGGCGGGTATATTTTTCGGGACAACAGAATGTGCAGTGCAAAGTTTGAAGTTGTTTGGACCGGCGGTTCTCGAAAAAGCTGCAAAAAGCAGTATTTTCTGAGGCAAACGTGGCAGTATATAGCTTAGAACATGACACCCGCACGCACTGCCGTTCTTTTCAATTGTTTACGTCATGTTTAAGCTAAAGCGCGCGTGCTCAATATGACGTGCATTGCAGGGCGATATATAGTGTCCAGTATGAGTGAATACTAATGGATCAATGGGTGAATAGCACTGCATACTATGTTTTCGTATGTACACGGGCACATTATTTTTGCAGTCGACTGAGCGACCATTGTAGGTGGTCGAACTTCAAACTTGGCAAAAGTTTTGACGTAAGTGTGCGTTCAACCTGTGAAACCAACACCATTGAATCGCGTGCGTTGTTTGCATGGGCAGTTCTCCAAAAACTCTGCAAGTATGCAACCTATACCAGCGGCAAAGCAATTTGCGTTTCCTGAACATGCACATTTTAGACGGGCACTGCACTAGTTATATCAATGGACCAATGGGTAATGACAAATAATCCACAATGGCTCACAGTATTAAACTTTTGTTACTTGCTTGTTAACACAATGCAGCAAGCTGACAGAATCAGAGTCATCATTGCTGCCTGTGAAAATATTTTGGTCACCTGAATGACTACAGTACAATCACTTCGCTTTGTAAAATGATTCTACATGGTTCAAGATGAACGATGGTCCTCCCAAGTCTAGTTAGCCATTGCAATGTCACTTTAAGAACTTGCTCCATGCTAGGATTGAAGGATCAGTCAACTGTACCATAATTGTACTGAATCCCTTTCACAATGAGATATATATTTTTTGAAATCCATTGACCTATGGTTTTCCCAGTAACTTGGACATGGTCTGATTTGTAGTACTACTAGTAGTTACTTGGACTACTGTGGTTTACGCCTTTTTTCAGTACCACAAATTCTGAAATGCAATAGTCTACAAAACTTACAGTATTGTGGACATTCCCAAAGGCAGAATATTAGTATAATAGGGTGAAACCATTCCGACCTACCCCCATCATGTTTTGTCCACAGCGTTTTTGATCACTGATGATAACCCTAGTCTCCTGACATGACGGGGGAATTTCTTTTGTCAAAATAGCCTCATTTTCCACAGCTAGGGCTATTTCCTTATCACTACCCTCCAGTAAGTCTAGGGGCTAGACGTTGTTATTGTTTAATACGCGATAACCTGCCGCCGCGAGAGGGCGCTATCACGACCAACGAATATCACCCACAAACCCGTCAGAACGTCTAGGGAATCTGCTAATTTTTCCCCCTGAAAAATGGGGGAAACTAGTGCGCATGCACCAATTGTGTATGCACGAAACAGATCTGCGCAGTAGTCTGGTAGTGGTAGCTAAGAAGTTACGCTATTGGCTGGTGTACGACGGGGCCCGGCAGCTGCAGCGCTCGCGCTGCATCATCATCATTTGTATGTTTTGTATTCAGGAAATCTATGATTATCGGTATGGTGTTGCTTGGATTTTGGAAGATAAATTTCCGAACGGGCGGCAGGTTGACGAAACCGTTGTGGCCTCGAACTATCTGACGAAGAGCGGCTATTTGCTAATATTTCAGTTTTGATATACCCAACGTTTTTGCAGCGAATTCAACAGCCTCATCAAAAGCTGACTGTTCGGCCATTTATCAATCGCAGTATTTACACAGTACATACGTACATGTATGGTGTACATTCAATCATTCACCGTCAGTACGGTGTGGCGTGGTACAGGGGATTAGACCTATAAATATGTATGCATTTATGCAGGGCATATAAGGCGCGCTACATATATTAGGCAAAGCAGGTGTGTGGGCATAGCATGGCCAGAAGCAGATTCCCTAGACGTTGTTCTGACGGCTTCGTGGGTGATATTGGTTGGCCGTGATAGCGCCCTCTTGCGGCGGCTGGTTATCGCGTATCAAACAATAACAACGTCTAGCCCCTAGACTACCCTCCAGTTCCTTTCACTTCTGTCAATAAGTGGCAAATTTGCTCCATCTGCTTTTTGTAAAGTTGTCAATCCTACTTTTTTAAAGTCAACAACACGACACAGGCAGCCAGGGTGTCATGACACTGCCATGTTTACAAACTTGTGTGCAGAGATAAATTCCCTACGTGTGGCGTATGCACAGCGCGCGTTGACCCTGATCACGAGTTTGTGGCTGTTGTTTATCTCCTGCGCTGAGGGGGCTCAAATTTCGGGAATAGTCAGGGCCCAATTTCAGGGTGAGAATGCAACTTTTGAGTTGGGGAAAATCTAGGGTGGTGAAAGCTGTATACCGGTACAACCCAAAAATCAGGTTGCTTAAAATTTTTAAGTGGAACTTGAACGATACAGCCTTCAGCTGACGGCCTACTTTGCGTATACCAGAAGGTGATTTTACAATGACGTGTGGTTTGATTCTATTTATTTATTTTTACCTCTTGAAACTGACAATTTCCGGCGGTAAATTTGTGACTTTTTTTTATCTGATTTTTTCCCCCCAGCCTAACACTCACCTGCCGTCGGTGCAATACACGTTAAAGCCATCCTGCCTGCAGGCGAAGCCCAAATTATTTTGTGAACGAGTATTTCTGGCCAACCAGGTCTGCGATTTGGTGTGGCAAGCAAAATGAATATTCATTACTTACATATCCTGTACTAGATGCAAAAGCAGTGGTAACACATTATTATATCTCGTATATCGATCGTGAGATGTGTTCACACACGAGACACGTGGTCTGCCCACGTGCGTACTATTTTGGAAAATCACTGGTGTTACTTGGTCGTTATAAAAATGATGTACATTGTGCAATGGGACCAGCGAGTTTCCATTCTTTGTCCGTGTACTATAAATGCAGTGCATGCATGGCATACTAGCTGCTCTTGCTACAGCTATTTTGACGTTTTACATTTCTGAAATTGCCAGGAGCCATCCTGAAATTTGGACTTCGGTTTTGATTTACGTATGTATTGCTCCAAAATGAGGTGAACATTTTGCTGAAGTTGTGAAGTTATGACATCAGTGAAGTTGTGAGGAAACACGAAAGTATCGCCAATGTTTTTAAAGAATAGTGTGGGTTTAGTTTAAAATTGTCGATTTAAAAGCAATTCACCAATATCTTGATATTTTTCAAAACCGTTACGAATATCGTATCACCGCGACATTTTCGACCTATCGTCCAGCACCTCTGTATGATGTCACATGGCACAATGTTACATGATGAATTAATTAATGGGAAAAATTGATTCTTTTGATTGTTATCCGTCTTACTCTTTCAATAAGTTTTTAAGCTCTACAGTCATCTCCCATTGACTTGTGTGCAATTTCAAGCCGTAGCAGATATTTCGGACACGGCTTATAAGTAACTGATTTTTCAAAGTTTTGGTTCAGAAAATCACGGTATCTTATTTACAATGTAAACAATTTTGTGGAAATTCGAAACAAAAGGCAATAAATTTGTAATTTTGAAGACAGCTTGTATTTTCGTAATGATTCTGCTAAATTTGGAAAGGTTGCCAGGTATGTATAATGTACATTGGACTAATTCCCTAGTTATCATTCCAATTTAATCATTACTCATTTGTATACCTTTTGTGATGGTATTCAGTGAAAGCATACAGCAAACCAGGAGTTTGATGATCTCAGCACACAAGTTGACTGCAACGGGTAGGTAGTCAAACCCCCCATCTAACAGTGACACAGAGGAGAAAGAAAAAGATTTGCATTCAACTTTAGTGATACTATAAAATAAAAAAAAATAAAAATTAAATAAGAGTTACATGTAAATGATTTAAAAAAAAATATATTTTCCCATGAACTTTACTATAAAAAGCAATTGAGCTGTATAATTTCTGCCATCAGTAAAGGCCCTCAAACATGTCAAAGTAATTCATCAGTGGTTGATGCTTAGCCGCAATCTTTTAGCCACATGTAGTGTAAGTAACATTTCTAACTCAAGTTATTATCCGGAAACTAAGCTGCCCTGACGGACAGACATACGGCCCTACAGACATCCCAGCCAGAATGGGGGCTGCCCGATAGTCCGAAGGTCCGATAGTCCGAAGGTTCTTTAGTCCAAAGGTTAGATAGTCCGAATGCACAAAATTTCCATAAGAGGGGGCTCGTTAGTCCGAAAATGAAATAAGGTTCGTTAATCTGTACATTTGATGCAATAGTCCGAAGGTTCATTAATCCGAAGGTTCATTAGTCCGAAGGTTCATTTATCCGAAGGTTTGAAAGTCCGAATTTAGAATAAGGTTAATAAGTCCAAAGGTTCAATAGTCCTAAACGAAAATAAGGTTCATTAGTCCGAAGGTTCATTATTCCCAATTGACAATAAGGTTCGATAGTCCGAATCGACAATAAGGTCTGACAGTCCGAATCGACAATTAAGGTCCGATAGTCCGAAGTGTCATACTGACGAATCGTATTGCCCATTCGGACTATCGAACCTTATTCTCAATTCGGACTATCGAACCATATTGTCAATTCGGACTATCAAACCCTACAGTACATTCGGACTATCGAACCTTATCATCTATTCGGACTATCGAACCTTATCATCTATTCGGACTATCCAACCTTCGAATTAATTAACCTTATTCTATTTTCGGACTAATGGGCCCTTTGGACTATCGAACCTTCGGACTATTGAACCTTCGGACTAACAAACCTTTGGACTAATGACCCTTCGGACTAAAGAACCTTCTGACTATCAAACCTTCGGACTATCGGGCTGTAACTGCCAGACGGACGGACGACATAGGCGATGACAATACCCCTCGAGCCTCTCGGCTGAGGGGTAAAAACTAAACTAGCTGGAGTCATTAGTAATACAACTTTGGAGGGGATTTGGTGTCAACGAATCTGAATGTGATGTTATTTAAATGATTTGATGCAAGACGGAGGCCCTACGGGGTTGCCATATTTGAACAATCCTATATGGCTGCTACCCAGGTCAGAGGTCAATCGCAGTTTTAAAAATACTGCAAGTAAGACTTGCGCAATCCCCCTGGCATGCTAGCAGTTTGTTATTAAGTCAGTGTCCCTAACCAAAATGGAAGATATTTTTCTATTGTTTTAGCAATAGTGATCCTGACCTTTGACCTGTCGGCCCCAAAAGCAAAAGGCTTATTAAGACTACCAAGAACAACCGACAAAACCAAATTTCAAGTTCCCAAGTAAAGCATTTTTTTCAAGTTATCGCGTTGACAAGATTTTTATTATTTTAGCAATAGTGACCTTGACCTTTGACCTGTCTCCCCCAAAGCAACATGCTTCTTAAGACTAACAAGAACAACCCACAAACCAAATTTCAAGTTATTAAGTAAAGTAGGCCTATTTCTGAAGTTATCGCGTTGCCAAGATTTCTATTGTTTTTAGGGCAGTTTCACGGGAAAGGTTGCAAAATGAAAAATAGGAAATCGATGCTATATTTCATAGGAGACTTTGTTGGAATTTGCTGGTTTTTGTCTCACAAGGACCGTCATGTTGTAGCAGTCTCCAGAAAAAAATGTGCAGCTCTACGCATTACGGTTTTCAAATTATAAGCTCACATGGGTGCTAAAGCACAAGATTTGGAGTCTCATTCACATTTTCTAGAAACTGCAATTGATGAGAATTAAAAATAAATGCCATGGGAACCACCCAGACTTGCAAGGACATTGAAGTATGTCCCAACAATATGTACACCAAATTTCATTAAGATTGGCCAACTCGTTCTTTTGTAATGCCGTTTTGAGTGAGACATTGATGTGTTTGTTAAACGTTTTTTTCAAAATGTCCTTTCCTGAACATGGTATTTTTTTCCAGAATTAAAAGAAAGAATACACAACTTATTGCCTGTCAACATGATGCTACACACTCCAGTAATCAAGTATAAAAAGATAGGAATTGGATAATCACAAGTAAATTTGATACAGCAGCAGTCGCATATGCCATGCAAATGTTTGTTAAAAATGTCCTCTCCTGAACATGGCCCCCCTTTTTTTATAGGAAGTCAGAGATAAAACTTTTTTGACATAAACATGTACCTAGGGGTGTACTTACTAGATTTAACCAGGCGCGGTTCTAGAACCAATATTTTTGGGGGGCTAGCACGGTGGATCCAGAATTTTTTTCAGGGAGGCGTGCTGAAATGTTGACCGGTTATTTTTTCCAGACACTTAGGCCTTCTTTTTGCTAATGCAAATTTTTTTTACGGAATTTATTTTTTGGGGGGGGGGGGGGGGGCGCTAGACAAAATTTAGGGGGGGCTACAGCCCCCCCTAGCCCCCCCGTAGAACCGCGCCTGGATTTAACAGACTACAAAAAGAATCAGACTCAAACCTTGCTTGCTGTCATGACATTGTCGTTAAACTGCATTGTCCTCTCCTGAACATATAGTTTAACAGAGTGCTGGGCAAAACCATGGTTGCAGAAATTTGATGAAGTTTCTGCTTATATTGTCTGTAAAGTTTATGTTCTAAAATTAAAACCAACTAAATGGCAAGAAAGTGTTAATGTTTTGTTCTTACAGGTCATTTACTCACTCATGTTTACACACAATATGACTAAGCATATGCATATATACATTTATCTTTACAAGTCACACTTAAATCCAATATTTGTCAGGAATTGGCTAATTTACAGTTTAAAACCATCCCTTCCACAAAAAAACACACATGAGTTTGAGTAAATGTAATCAAAATTTACTGTTTTAGTCTAGTTTCTGTGTATTCAAGTGTTCAGGATAGGACTCTTTTTTTTTTAACAAGTTTAACAACATCTGTTATACATTGTACTGCACTGTTTTAACAACTCTCCTGTGTGCAGCCATTTCATTAGTTTAATTGCTATGAAAAATGGTACAGTCAAGCTTATCATGCACTGATCATGCACAACTTGTATGTTGATCCTTGTTAAAATGTGTGTCCTTTCCTGAACATGTTTGAAACATTTACGGTAACAAGGAACAAGTACAGATACACAAGAACCTTCCTCCGTGCATACATGCACTGTACGTGTGTACAAATTCTTTAAACTGTTTTGAGCTTGATGTGCCTACCGGTATTCCTTAGATCCCATTTTGTAAAAAGCACCATGCTGACTGAATTTTTTTTTTCACTGGATAGTACAGTGTAATTATCTAGGCATTTCTTTGTGGGGCATGTACATGTACATGTATATCTGTGTCTCAATACAAAATTATGTTTTCACCAGCAATAATTATAATCATTTGAATGGACATTACTTCAGACTAACTTTATTGTCATGCAGGAAATGCACGGTGCTACCAGTATGCTAAACATTGTTAAATAGTATGTCCTTTCCTGAACGTAAATTTAGTTAGGTGGAGCAATAACAAGGTACAAACTGATCTGCCTCACACATGTATAGCCTCCCAACTCTAGTTTTATGGTTATATTTCTTGTAATGTTGCTTCATAAGATCAGACTTGACTGAATGTAGTAATTGTTAAAATCGTTGTCCTTTCCTGAACAAAGTAAACCCTTTTCATAGCAATTATAAAGACCACGGTAACTCTATAACGCAGCACACTATAAACACAATTTCTTTGCCAATTGTTCTACCATGTATACAGCCCTTGGACAAAAGTGCAAATTAATAATCAGCAGGCTACATGGTTTTCTGTAAAACAGAAATGAAAGTTTGTGTTTCAAGGAAAAGAGAGCTATAAAATTGAATTTTTTGTCAGTATATGAAATAACGTGGTTTTTTCATAGCCTAGAGTGCATTAATATTCAAGACATGACTACTGTGATGACTGTCAATCATTTTAAAGCAACTCTAAGCATGTTTGAGATGTGGAATTAGTAGTTTATAATACCTACCTTTATTTGACAAATTTTATGGTCTGCAAAGTGTAAAGTGCCTTAAAATTGAAACGAAAAAATGTTTAAGCCTTGACTTTAACATTTTCTAATACCTTTATGTATGTACTTTCAACAAATAAACATGTTTTATGGATACAAGTTTCATTTTTGACCCCCCGTGAGACTTTTTTGCAACCTTTCCCGTGAAACTGCCCTTTAGCAATAGTGACCTTGACCTTTGAACTGTCACCCTAAAAGCAATATGCTTCTTAAGACTAACAAGAACAACCCACAAACCAAATTTCAAGTTCCTGAGTAAAGTATTTCTGAAGTTACTACATTCAAAAGATTTCTATTGTTTTAGCATTTTTATTGGGGGGGGGATTTAAAAATTTCTTTAAAAAGGGCACTTGCACATCCGTGGACAAATGTTTTTCTCCGGACACTTGGCCTCCATAAATCAAACAGTGGGGGGCTGGGGCTGTGGGGGGGGGGGGGGGGGGGACTGGGGCTGGTACTGTTTAACAACAACATGCACATGTACCAGTGATTCTGGCTCGCCCTCTATGATGCCAGAAATGAATACATGTACTGTACTCTACTGGGCATTTCCACGGTTACTCACATTACGTTTTTGATGTACTTTTGAGTTTCCTTGGGCTGTAATTAATATCGAAAAGGTTTAATAACTGTTATCCCCATGGTAGATAGAGTAGACCTAGACCTACATGTACCTAAGCACCAAAGATGACATCCAGAAAAATGTGTTATGTATGATAAACAAGACACACAAAATCGGTTACTCACGTTACATTTTCGGACATGCATAAAAACCAACCATGCTTTGATCAAAAAGTGTCCTCAAACAGGCAA